TGATTTTTATGCAATACAAAATACTGCATATCTATCCAGAGAGGAGGTATTTAAAAGGAGCAAAGAAATCTCTACCTCAAGATTCAAAGCTAAAGATGAAGACCCAACTTGAAACTCCAATGAAATCACAAAATAATCGGTAGAAGTCTTGATCTATGCTTGCTCTTCAACCATCTTGAAAGATTTGGGGTGAATCTTAGGTAAAAAGAAGGGAAATCAAGAGTTTGGAAAGTTAGGGTTTCGGGTTTGGAGGATGGGAGGAGAAGAGAGGGAGAAAAATAGAGTTTTAGGGCCAAAAAGCCACTTTATAATGTCTGTTAGCGACGTGGTCACTTGAGCAAAGGAAGCTTAGCTAGAGCGTACAAAAGAAGCTCTCAGAATCTCTGAAAATCGCGCAGTTCACTTGAGCGGAGAAAATCTCGCTCGAGTGAGCATGCTTCCAACACAGAAACACAAAATTCAAACAGGTATAACTCTCTCGTCTAGACTCCGTTTAGGGTTGTTCTTGTGTCCAAATTGAAGCCCCAAAAGTAAGCTTTCCAATGGTTCTAGCCTCACATCAAGATTCAAAGTATGGAGAGATAAAATGATGAAAGAGTGAAAACTACTGAATAACAATTATTCAAATTTGGAGTTTCGAATTCAATCTCACCCAACCATAATGGTAACACCTCAACCAAGGCTCAAATAACAACTAAAAAGGTTCTCAATCAAGGTAATCAAAGAGTCAAATATGATTCCAATATAACAGGAAGCACAGAGTGCTACAAAAAGACTCATGAAGCAGCCAACCTCCTTTCTCTTAACCAAGTTGAGGCCAGCAACCGCCATCAGATGGATAAAGCCAAAGGCTGCTAAAAAAAAGCTGAGGCTAAAGCCAAAGCTGTAGAGGCCACTACTGAAGCCGCCAAGGCCGATGTTGAGGTTGCCAAGGCCAGGGTAGTAGAGTTTGAGGCAAAGTTCAAAGAGGCCATTGAATCAAAGGAGGCCAAGGTCAAGGCAGCCAATGAGAATGCCTTTGAAGAGGGCTAAGCCGTGGTTCGCGATCAATACAAAGAGCAGGTCAATCTGGCTTGTAACTGAGGTTACTACCTCAGCTGGATGACGGTGCTCAACAAACTATCTATCCCCATGGATTCCCCTATCAGAGACATCGGCCAACTCAACATTCCTTTCCCTCTTGTCCCCAAAGAGTCAGATGACGAGGCTGATGAGGAGGAAGCTGACGAAGAGGCTAATGAAGAGGCACAAGCTGCTACTGGGGCCATGTCTGCCACTCTGAATGATCAAGTCTTGGACTTGACTCAGGATGAGGAGGAAGACGAGGTTTCTAAGAGAGCCTCTCCTAAAAAGACAACCTCTGAGGCTGAGGTCTAGGCCGCCGAGAAGAGCTTGGACCAAACATTGCTTGAAATAGATGCCGAGATAGCGGCGGAGAAGGAGGCAGTATTGCCAGTCAAGTCCGACACAATGCCAATAGCCGAGTTTGAGCAATCCGAGATCAACACCAATGTTTCCAGTACTTAGGATTTTTTCTTTAATTTGAACTTTTCTCTTTTGTTGGGCCAAAGTGCCATCTTTGTAAGTGAACATGTTATCTTTCTTGTCAAACCGAGGTGGCTTTTGTAACTGAACAAGTTCTTTCTTCTGAATGCAAACTTCTTTTTTTTTTCTAAGTGTTGTATTCTTCATTTGTGTATGTTGACTTCTTTGCTTTTATGCCTTGTATGTTTCCATACTTAGAATATTATTGCAATTCTTCTAAGTATACCTTAATTATGTAATCACTTCAGGGTTGGAATACCTCGAACAAGTATCACCTCGGATAAAAACCTTTACTCTTTTTCTCGGCCAAACAACACTTTTAAAAATATAAAATATCTTCACAAGTGTTGTTTCTTTGCTTGTACTTGTTGTCCTCTGGCAAGGCTTCCCCCTTCCAAGTCTAGCACTTTGGCTGAGTATCTCAGACAATTATACTTCGGGTATAATGCAATACTCCCATCTTGGTTTAATGCCTTTCGGATAGTTCCATCTATCGATGATCTCAGATGACACTACAGAAAATTTCTCAAGTGTTATTCATAACTTCAACTTGAAATTTCAAAAAATTTCACAAGTGTTATGCTTTTATTCCATTCCCACTTCTTGCCCCCTAATGTGAACCTAAGTTTCTCTTAAGTTCACATTAAGCATCCATCTCCGATTTTTGCCGAAGTCTGATTCAAACAAATCTTAGCTAAGGTTTTCTACCTCGGTGTCTCTGTTAATTCGACTAGATCAAACTTAGTTCAACTCTACCGTATGACAAGTGTTAGTTATTCATCATGTTTCATTTGGAAACATCACAAACTTAACTCTACCATATGGCAAGTGTTAATTCACCTCTACCATATGGCAAGTCTAAGCCGTTCATCATGTTTCATTTGGAAACATCGCAAACTTAGTTCAACTCTACCATATGGCAAGTCTAAGTTATTCGTCATGTTTCATTCAGAAATATCGCAAACTTAGTTCAACTCTACCATATGGAAAGTCTAAGTTACTCGTCATGTTCACCAAGGGAACATCGTCATATGACTTTTTCAGTCCTATCGCACAAGTGTCAACAATAATATATGAAAACAAAATCAAGCTAGTGTTTTATAAAAACTTCGGCTAATCACATAAATTTCTAAAAAACAAACACTAATGATAGAAAAACTTCAAATTGCAAGTGTTCTAGGGACTTGGCAACTCCTTGCCATCACTGTCTTCTAGCTGATATGCTCCATTGCTGGCAACCGAGAGGATTCTGTAAGGCCCTTCCCAGTTTGGGCGAAGTTTGCCCTCCCTGGGATCCTTCTTATAGCTGATGACTTTTCTAAGGACGATGTCCCCAACCTTGAACTCCTTTGGGTTGACCTTCTTGTTGTAAGCCCTAGCAAGCTGCTGCTGGTATGCCCCCAGCTGAATTACTGCTCTCTCCCTTCTTTCTTCCAACATCTTCCAAATGCACATTTCATGCCTCATTGGTCCCATTGTCCACTCCCTGGGTTCTGATTCCAGGGATGCCGACCTCCAGTGGGATGACTGCTTTAGTGCCATATGCCATGGGAAAAGGGGACTCCCTAGTTAATCTTCTCAGCGTAGTCCGATATGTCCATAGCATATTGGGTAATTCCTCCACCTACTTGCCATTGGCTGTTTCCAGCCTCCTCTTGATCCCATCCAAGATGGTCTTGTTGGATGCTTCTGCCTGACCATTACTCCAGAGGAAACTAGGAGTGTAGTAATAGTTCTTTATCTTGTATTTTGCACAAAAGCTCTTAATCAGCTTACTGTCAAACTAAGTGTCATTGTCTGCTATAATGGCCCTTAGGATCCCGAACCTGGTTATTATGTTCTTCCAGATGAAGTTCTTCACATCAATATCTCGAATCTTCGCAAGAGGTTCAGTCTCTACCCACTTTGTAAAGTAGTATGTGGCTACTAGGGGTGTGCATAATACCACCGAAACCGCCGAAACCGCACTGAACCACACCGCCAAGACAAATTCATTATTATTTGCCAATCGAACCGCCGGTTTTTTGTAATAAAAATGACAAATTCTAGTGACACTTTTATCAATCTGCCGGTTTCTATTTTTCTTCCAAACCGCACCGACCCGCACCGATATTAAATCATGTTTTATAAGATTCTAAAAATTCTTTTTTACTTAAGATTGTTTGTTGTTCTATACCTTAGAATATAGTATTACATTACTGCTCGAGGGAATTCAAGATGTCAGTAATCCAAAATAAAGTTGGATTCCAATTCACTTTTCAATCTTTTTTTTTTTTTTCTTTTCTGGCCATGTTGCAAACTTGCATTAGCTCACTTTTCAATCTAAATACTTTTCAACAGTAAACATTTTCAATATATTGTAAACCCTGAATGATATTAATTTTATGTATTGTATTTGATCATTGTAACTTCCACAGATGCTTGTAATGAATTGATGGCATAGTCGTTGATATTATCATGTTGTTACTGCACTTGCTGCATCAGAAAAAAGCTTTGCAAGATGCTTAACATCACGGTATCTCTCGTCTTTTTTTTTACTCTTTGATTTAAGTTTTGTAATTTGAATTATATTTTTTATAAATCGCCAATCCGCCCAAACCGCCAAGGCAAATCTGCCATTATTTGCCAACCGAACCGCCGGTTTTTGATAAGAAAAATGACAAATTCTAGTAACACTTTTATCAATCCGCCATCCGCCATACGGTTTCTATTTTTCTCTCAAACCGCACCGACCCGCACCGCGCACACCCCTAGTGGCTACTAGCAAGAACTTTCTCTGTCTAGTTGCCTGGGGTAGTGGTCCTACTAGGTCCATGCCCTACTGGGAAAACGGCCAGATCTGTTGTTGGCTGATGTATCAAAGGTGCAAACCTTTGACACTTCTCACACTTCCTGACATAGGCTTCCACATCCTTTTGCACATATAGCCACCAATATCCCTGGGAGATGGCTCTATGGGCAAGTGACATGCCCCCTGCATGGCTTCCATAAACTCCTTCATGGATCTCGTATAAAAAGTCCTCTACCTGAGAGGGATGCATACACTGGAGTAGAGGTCCAGTGAAGTATCTTATGTATAGATGGTCTTCTGCTGACAGGCAGAACCTGGCAGACTTCAACCTGGTTTTGTGTGCCTCTTTTCTATTGTCTGGCAATCGGCCCTCTCTGAGGAACACAATTATGGCGTCCATCCAGCTGGAACCCATTTCCATGCATATTGCTTCGTATTCTGTTATCAGAGGCTCTACACTTGGTCCTGTTAGATAATCAACCATGATTGTCCTTGGTTCCCCAGACTTTATTGCGCTAGCCAGGTTCGCCAAGGCATTAGCATGGCTATTATCATCTCGACTAACTTGCTGTAGCTGATAATTCTCAAACAGTGTTAGCAGCCTGACAACCTTTTTTACATAGACTATCATCCTTTCATCTTAGGTTGTATACTCGCTTGTTGCTTAATTCACAATAAGCTGGGAGTCACAGAAGACTACCACCTCATCAGCTTCCATGGCTACTGCCAATTTCAGTCCTACAATCAGCACCTCATAGTCTACTTCATTGTTTGAGACCTTGAATCCCAAACGAATAGATTGCTCAATCATTCGCCCATCTGGTGATACCAACACCACTCCTGCCCCTGCTCCATAACGGTTTGAACTTCCATCAACAAATAGGCGGAAGGAATCGCCGATGTAGATGTCATAGGATTTTGGTTTCTCTACCCTCTTTTCTTTTGCTGGAGTGGGGTCCTTTGGTCCCAACTCGGTCTCTTCCTACTCTCTTGGACATCCTAAGTTGCGGCTCACCGAAGCCCGAATTGGGATTGCGCTAGGAGTGAACTCGGCTACAAAGTCGGCTAGCACCTGGCCCTTGATTGCTGTTCTAGGTCTAAACTCCAAGTCGTATTATCCCAACACCACTGCCCATCTGGCTATTTTTCCTGTCAGATCTCCATGCTGCAACAGGGGCTTCAGGGGATGCGCAATCAACACCACAATTTTGTGGGCTTAGAAGTAACGATTCAACTTTTTGGAAGCCATCACTAGGGCTAGGGTCAACTTTCCCAGGGGCAAGTACCTGGATTTTGCACTTGCTAGGGTTTTACTCACATAGTATACTACCTTTTGCTTTTCCTTCTTTTCTCGGATTACCACCATGCTTATTTCATGGTTTGAAACTGCCAAGTATATGACCAATTCTTCTCCACGTGTTGGATTTGACAGAACTGGAACTGTTGTCAGGTACCTTTTCAAGTCGATCAAGGCGACTTCGCACTCTTCTGTCCACGAGAAATCTGTGGCCTTCTTTAACAATTGAAAAAATGGCTTGCATTTATAAGAACTTCGACTGATAAATCTATTCAAGGCTGCTTCCTTTCCACTAAAAATTTGGACCTTCTTGGCTGATGTCAAGCTTTTCAAATCTAGGATAACCTTGATCTGATTTGGGCTTGCTTCTATGCCCCTCCTTGTGACCAAGTATCACAGGAACTTCCAAATGCACATTTTGAAACATTGAGTCGGAGCCGATATTTTCTTAGGATGTCAAAGACTGCCTTCAAGTCGGCCAGATGGTTCCTCGGTTCTTTAGTCTTCACGACTATGTCATCAATGTAGACCTCTACTGTCTTCCCAATCAGATGCTTAAATATCTTGGTCATTAACCGCTGGTAGGTTGCTCCTGCAGTCTTTAACCCGAAATGCATCACTCTGTAACAACAGAGTCCTTTTAGGGTGATGAATGTCATTTTCTCTTCATCCGGAGCATACATTGCTATCTAGTTGTAACATCTGTATGTGTCCAAAAAACTCATCCTTCCATGCCCTGTAGTGGCATCTACTAACTGATCAATTTTGAGCAGTGGGAAATTGTCCTTGGGGCAGGCCTTATTCAGGCTGGTGAAGTCCACGCGGACCTTTCACTTACCGTTATTCTTTTTCACAACTACTGTGTTGGACAGCCAGGTTAGGTAGTTCACCTCCCGAATGGCCTTGGCTTCCAACACCTTGTCTACTTCCTCCTCAACTGCTTCCACATGTACTAATGTCGGCCTTCTTGCCCGCTAGATGACAGGTTTAGCTAACCTGTTTACATTGAGCCTATGACAAGTGACCTCGGGGTCGATGCCAGGCATCTCATAGGGCGTCCAGGCAAACACTTCCATGTTTGCTCGCAAGAAAACCTCTAACTCCATTTCCTCCTCCTTGGCTAAGCCTAAGTTGAGAAGGAAGAAGCGCTCTCGATCATCTTCTTGGACCAGAATGTTCTTCAAAGCTTTCTTACTCTTGTCGGCTGGTTCTTTGCCGACATCATCTAGGACCTCGATGTCCTTGTCTTCGATTTCTAGTGTCTTTTCTACTCGCACATTGCGGGTGGACTTCATTGTTACCATGGAACAATTTTTTGCCTACACCTGATCCCCTCTAACCTCCTCAATCCTATGTTCGGTTGGGAATCACAGCAGCTGTTGCAATGTTGAGGGAACAACCCTCATTGCATGCAAGCACAGTCTACCTAAGATAACATTGTAAGGGGAGGGGTGTCAATTATTGTAAACTACGTGCTTACCTTCTTGGTGCCTGCTTGCACCTCCAAATCCATGGCTCCTATAGGCCATGTCAGCGTTCCGTTGAATTCAACCATTGGGCTGTTGGATTGTTCCAGATCATCTGGGTGAGGCCAAGCTCCTTGTAATATCCAACATACATGATGTCTCAAGAATTGCCTTGATCAACCAGTATGTGTCTCACTTGGCACTTTCCAATCTTCAGTGTTATCACCAGGGCATCATTGTGTGGATGCTACACCATTTCCAGGTCTGCCTTAATAAAAGAAACCATTGGTCCCCAGTACTTATTTGTCCTAGGCTTCTTTTGCTAGACTTGATACACATGCTGTAGGTGCCTCACTCTCTAAGTCTCCCTACGTACATCATTCTCATTGACCTTCGAGTGAATCACATTAATAACCCGAGGTCTATCTGCTTACTGCTGTGGCGGTAGTGGAGGTGGTACTGCTAGTGCTTGGGGAAGCCTTGGATGCTCTTCCTTAGTCCTGGCCTTATCTACTAGGCCTCTCAGGTGACTCTGTCTGACCAGATCCTCCAAGTGCGTCTTCAGAGCCCTGCACCCCTAAGTCAAGTGCCCGTCCTAATTATGGTAAGCATAATGCTTCCCAAGGCTCCTTCCCATAAACTCGCTAGGGATCTTCTCCGGCGCTCTGTAATACGATTGGTTCCAGATCTTTTATAGAACTTTGTAGATCGGGATCCTTAACACAATGGTGACTGCCTGTGCAGCCCTCAACCCTGTCTCCTGCCTGTTTACACCAGATTTATCTCGACCTGGCTTTGGCGAGCCGTTTTTCTTCTCTTGCTTTGGCGTCTTCGTTCCTTACGTGTCCTCTTCTGCCCTGGCATATTTCTCGATTCATGCCATGAGCTCCTCCATACTTTTTGGTAGAGTTTTTGCTAGCGATTTCCGAAGAGGGCATTCGTCATCCAAGCCGTTCCTAAAGAGACACGACTGCCAGCTCCTAGTTACAATTAGGAATTCGATTGAACACCTCGTAATATCTCTTGGCGTAAGCCCTGAGGCTCTCACCCTCGCTAATGTTCAAAGCTAGCAGGGAGTCTACCCTTAGTGGTTATAACTTGTTCGTAACAAACCTGGCCACAAACATCTCGGCCAAGCCTTCCTAAATCTTTACAGTTCTTTTCGATGACTTATGAAACCAATCAGATGCTATCTTCCCGAAGGATGAGGGGAATACCTTGCACAACAACTTCTCGTTCCCACTCCACAAAACCATTGAATTCAAATATAAACCAACATGAAAGTTCGGATCGGACTTACCATCGTATATTTGGAACCTCGGCATATGGAACCTTTTTGGGGCCTCAAACACATCCAACTCAACTAAGAATGGCGTCCTTAGCTTGACGGGGAGATATGATCTTGACATTGTGCCGCTTTCTCTGGAGGTAGTCTCTCAAGTCCTCCTTCATTCGGCCGGGAGATAGACTATCAATAGATTTCATCCTTTTGGGCGCGCTGCTTCTGGTGTCATTGTGCGTCCTCTTGGACTTCTCTTTATTCATTATATCAAAGCGAAGCCCTTCCCCTAGATATACTGAGGTTCTTTGACATAGGTCCCTTTTGTTTGCGGCATTTTCTGTGACTCACCTCTTACAGACTCTGCTGCCCAACATCCTGTGAAAGCCGATGTGAGCGCTCCTTTTTCTTGCCATGCTACAGGATTAATTAGATTGTTTTCTGCCCCTCTTTCTGGGCATTACTCTTGGCCACTGGTACTGGCTTGTCCTACAATGGGAACGGTGGTTGCATCACGTTGTTTTGCATCATAAAGTTGTCAACCGACTGTAGGTCTACCAACTTGTTCGGCATCCCTTTCATCTCGTCGTCCCTCCTCAAGCATCTATCCTTCCATACCTAGAGTTCGTTTTTGTTGTAATACTCATCTTAGGCAGCTTTTTTCAGGGACATTACCCTCTTTGCTGTCGTCCTTCTCCCCAGGATTCTGATCTTGTGCTCCTTCATTACGGTTTTCTTCCCCGGCGTTGGGATCTGCATGCTTACCACTCTCATTGTGGATATCGTCCCCAATCTTTTCTTCCTGCCTGTTGTTGGCTATCTATTCTTCTTAAGTTCCCACAAACGGTGCCAAATTGTGGATGTAGAGTTCTGACCACGCAACCAAAAACAAGAACTTAGCTGGAGAGTACCAACAGAATAGATTAAGCCCAACAACCTGCACAAGAAGATGAGAATCTGGCAGTGGTTTGTCCACCCGGGGGCACTCTAGTAATCAATATCTCTCAAAGATAGCAAAGAGTACTCAAAACTCACTAGAAAAGAACTTACCTCAGACCCACGAGGGTGCCTTGGTTTTATATCCAGCAATGACCTGATCTCTTTTGAAGCCCCACTTCAGTGGACTCAGGCTCAATACTTATTCTGGACCCTCATCTAGATAGAGATAAACTATTCTTAAGCCTTATTTTTATCCAGACTGAGATCATCTTCTGTTTTAGGGCTCTTGTCACTTATCTGCTTATCTCAGATTCTGATATCTCCGTAGATAACCTTGGCCTAGCCGAGATCATCTAGGCAACATGACCAGGCCATGTTGAACCTCGGCTGACACTTCGACGTCACCTTTGCCACATTCTGTTATTCACAAAATACTACCCCACAGTATGTATTTTATGATACATGCAATAGTATGGGTAATTATTCAGTAATTCCAAAGTGTGGACACGTGGTATTTCATAATATTATGATTGATTGAGAAGGAGGGTAGGTAGGTAGGTAGGTGGGGTATTGTGTTGGGTGATTGGGAAACATGAAGGGACATATTGAATGATGATTGGTTAGGGAGTACAAACACGTGGTACAGATACGCGATACATACTATACATGAATAATTAAATTTCTTTAACAATTTTGAAGTAATTAATTTAAATTATTTTATGTAAATTAATTAGTATTGTTAGAAATTTTCATCAACTTATTAATCAAAGTTTTCTTTTATTTTTGTCTACCTATTTGACTAATTTCTATTTATATGGTACTGAGAATGTTATGCTGTTGGTTTATGCCAACTTACACCCATTAAAAGTTTAAAGTTTTCAAACTATTTGAGAAAAAGAAAGTTGTAAATTAAATATTAAAATCTAAATGGGGAGTAAAAATAATATGAAAAACATATTACAATTGACAATAAATTTGTTTTGAGAATATAATAATGTATTGAAGTGCTGTCTTTTGTTATTTAAATTTAGGTATGCTATAAGTTTTGTATGCATTAGGTATTGATATCTGCGTACCTTTAATTCAAAGAACCTTAATTTTGCAATTTTAACGTTCTGTTTGTTTGGGCAAAGAAAATGTTTTTCATATTTTTTGACGTATGGTACATTAAAAAATGAAAGTCAATCGAAATGGAAAACAAACTTGTTTGGGCAAAGAAAATGTTTTTCATATTTTTTGATGTTTGGTACATTAAAAAATGAAAGTCAATGGAAATGGAAAACAAACTTATTTGGGAAGAAAATGTTTTGTATTTTTAAATGGTGGAAAATATTTTCCGGATTAAAGTTTTATCAATGTCACCGTATTACCACCGCAACTCTCATCTCACCACCACACCACCATCACTGTTGCTGTCACACCACCACTTCTACCTCCACCTTCGTCCTACTACCCTTTGTAAATTTTGTTGGCTATTTGCATTAAAAGCAATAGCTTCGTTATTTGTATAATTTAGTAAAATTTGAAAATTGTTTCCATTTTTAGAGACAAAAGTCGAACACCTAACAAGTTTTTGTTTTCAAAATTTTTGTGAACATAAACAAAAAATTATAATCCTAGATATTACCAAATGGGAGTTTATTTAACCTTAAGAAAAAAAAACTGAGTGGGAGGGGTTATTGATCCTTGTCTTGTTAGGTATGTAGACAACCTTGAGCAAAATGCCTAAGCTCGGGGGGCCAAGGCAGGCCCCCTGAGCCCGGATTGTGAAAAAAAAAAATTCAATCCTGTTTGGTTTATTTCGGCCCACAGGTTTGTCCCTATACAATGTAACAATGTTTATACATTTTAGGGGTAGAGAGAAAAAAAAGGTTGCTGTCATTTTTCAGAGGAGTGAGAAGACTTTTTGTAATTCTATACTCAATATAGTGGATTGGTGTGGCTCCCAAGACGTAGGCATGTTGTCAAACCTCGTATATCTGTGTGTTTTGTCTATTTATTTTTCTGTGATTCATAGTTTTCAAAGATCCATGGGGTTTAGAGATTGAACACGTAATTTAAATCCTAACAACTGGTATTAGAGCGTGATTATGCAAGGGGTGTTCGACAAATTTTTTGATTGAAGTTTGTTCGAGCAGTCTACGGTTTTGGTGGGAGCTATGGGTTTAGAAGAAGGAAAATCAAAAATTGACAGATTCGAGGGTTATGATTTTGCTTTCTGGAAAACACAAATAGAGGAGTATCTGTATCAGAAAGATCTTTATTGGTCGTTGCTGGGTAAAGTGAAGGGAAAGAAAGCAGATGAAAAAGATGAAGATTAGGCGGTTCTTGACCGGAAAGCGATGGGACTGATTCGATTATCACTTGCAAAACCAGTGATTCACAACATATTAAAGGAGACGACAATAGAGCGTCTCATGAATACAATAAAGGAGATGTACGAGCAGCCATCTGTTGCGAATAAGGTACACCCTATGAAACAACTCTTTAATCTCAAAATGATAGAATAATGTTCTTTCATGTCGCATCTTAGTGAATTTAATACAGTAGTAGATCAGCTTGTCTCTGTTGATATTAAATTTGATGAGGAAGTTCAGGCTCTGTTAACCCT